TTAAAAAAAAAAAAGAAAAATACATCCATCCACATGAACACAACTGGTCTGAGTCTAGTCAGCTGTTCTTGATCCTCTGTACAGTCCCCTTCTTCGCCCACTTGACCCACAAGTTCTCTACACTTCTGACCATTTCTTTGAATTCATCTATCCCCAAGAACATAATAATAAGCGCCTTTTCGTATGTTCAGTGGCAATGGGGATTTTTTCTATAATTGCCTGTTCATACCCTTTACCCATTTTTCTACCGCTGCCCTAACAAATTTACCACAAAACACAAATTTGTCAGAGGTCTGACATGTTCCATGGAGCTGAAATCAAGGTTGGTAGGGCTGCATTCATTTCTGTAGGCACTCAGAATTCATTCCTTGCCTTTCCCAGCTTCTAGAAGCTGCCCACATTCCTTGGCTACTGGCTGTCTTCCTCCATCTTCAAAGCTAGCAAATCCAAGTCAAGTTCTTACCACTCTGCTCTCTTCTGCCTCCCTCTTCAACTTTTGTTTTGTTTTGTTTTTGTTTATTTGACAAGAGAGAAGATCACAAGCAGGCAGAGAGGCAGGCCGAAAGAGAGAGGAGGAAGCAGGCTCCCCGCTGAGCAGAAAGCCTGATGCGGGGCTCAATCCCAGGACCCTGAGATCATGACCTGAGCTGAAGGCAGAGGCTTTAACCCACTGAGCCACCCAGGCGCCCCTCCCTCTTCAACTTTTAAGGACACCAGTAATTACATTGGGTCCATCTGAATAATCCGAGATACTCTTCCTATCTTGAAGTCTAACCATTTTAGACAGCAACCATTAATTTCAATTGCAATGTTTAATTCCTGTGCCAGATAATATATTCATAGGTTCCAAGAATTAAGGTGTGGACCTCCTGGAAGGGCCTACCTACCACAGATATTATCCTATTATGCAGGCTGCAAATATTTTCTCCCAATCTGTAGCTTAATTTCTAATTTTGTTTAAGGTGACTTTCACTGTACCAAGCTTGAAAATTTTTATGTAATTAAATAGACCAATTATTAAGATGATGATTTTTAAAATGTGCTCATAAAAAAATAAAAATAAAAATGTGCTCATATGTATTTTTAAAGATTTACTTTAGAGACAGAACACAGGAAGGGGGAGAGGGAGGAGAGTCTTAAGCAGACTCTGCACTGAGTGCGGATACAGGGCTCCATCTCATAACCCTGAGATCACAGCCTGAGCTGAAATCCAAGGGTCAGATGCTCAACAGACTACACCACCTGGTACCCCATAAAATTTGCTTGTATTTTTCTAAAATTCTACAATACACATTACTGCTTCTATAAAAACAAAAAGTTTTTAAAATGTGAATTGTCAAGGTGCCTCGCTGTTGGTAGAGGGTATAACTCTTGATCTCTAGGTGGTGAGTTTAACACCCACACTGGGCATGACTACTTTAAAAAAATAAAGTGAATTGTCTATGCACAATGCACATATGTCTGACAATATTATGTACACTTGGAAATTGAGTGAATTTTTTTTTTTTTTGCCACAATTAAAAACGGGGGGGAAAATAAGTGAATTGTCTAGCACTGAAATCTATCACTTCCTGCCTAAACTGCCCAGAAAACCCACAACTTTAAAACGAACTTCATGGGGCACCTGGGTGGCTCAGTTGGTTAAGTGGCTGCCTTCCGCTCGGGTCATGATTGCGGGGTCCTGGGATCGAGCCCCACATCAGGCTCCCTGGTCAGCAGAGAGCTTGCTTCTCTCTCTCCCTCTGCCTGCCACTTTGCTTCCTTGTGCTCTGTCAAATAAAAAATTAAAATCTTAAAAAAGAAAAATAAACTTCACTTGGGGAGGCACCTGGGTGGCTCAGTCGATTAAGCATCTCTTAATTTTAGCTCAGGTCATGATCTCAAGGTCATGGGATCAAGCCCTATGTCAGGCTCTGCAATCAACAGGGAGTCTGCCTGACTTACTCTCCCTCTCTGCCCCCGCCCCCGCCACTGCATATGTGCACATGCACACATACTCTCTCTAAAACAAATAAATCTTTTTTTAAAAAAAATGTAGCAGGAAAAATAAAATAAAAAATAAATTTCACTTGGGGCACCTGGCTCGCTCAGTCAGTAGAGCATGCAACTCTTGATCTTGGGGGGTAAGTTCAAGCCCCATGTTGGGTGTAGAGTACTTAAAATCTTTTAAAAAATAAAGGAACTTTGGGGCGCCTGGGTGGCTCAGTGGGTTAAAGCCTCTGCCTTCGGCTCAGGTTATGATCCCAGGGTCCTGGGATTGAGCCCCACATCGGGCACTCTGCTCAGCAGGGAGCCTGCTTCCTCCCTTCTCTCTCTCTGCCTGCCTTCTGCCTACTTGTGATCTATCAAATAAACAAAATCTTTAAAAAAAAAAAACAATAAAAAAAAATAAACTTCATTCCCAGAATTTAAGGTTCTTCATGATGTGGCTGACCTTTCCAAATACACTCCCTTGCTAGTCAACCTGATGCTTCTTAAGCACGCTCCGTATTTCCTGATTTTTGTGCCTTTTGCTCAAATTGCGCTCCATGTCAAGTCTCCCACATTCCTTTAATGCCCAGCTCAGACTACCTCTAGGGCCTTCTGATTCTTGTCTTGGTATGGTTTCCCCCTCTTTGCAGCCACATAATCTGTACCTTGTTGACAGCACCAGTTTGCTTATAGTATGGCTATCAAGCCCCTAAAAAAGAAGCTGAGGTTCTATGAGGTCAAATCCACATTCCCAATCCACTGCTAAACTTTTCATTCCACAATATTCCCTCTATTCCATATATACAATGGACAAAAACAGACAGTACATGCTGTTCCTCCGCCTCCTATCATTCTTCTGTTCCAAAGCTTAAATAAACTTTTTTTAGCCTAAACCTGTCCAGAGGGTCTTAGCCCAGAACTCACTCCTGCTGGCCAGGAGTGGAACTGAAGATATTTTCCCTCTTCCCAACTACTGCCCCCGCCTCCCAAATAATCTCAAAGCCATTGCAATTCTTTAATTTTTTTGGTTAATTTTAGGTAGGTTCCACGCTAACTATGGGGCCTGAACTCAATCCTGAGACCAAGAGTTGCATGCTCTACCAACTGAGCCAGTCAGGCACCCCAAACACAATGCAATTCTTAATTTCTACTTGTCACAGGGGCATTTCATGAGTCTATGCATATCTTTTTAAGCCCTTGGTGGAAAAGAATAACAAACAATTAACATTTGGCTCAGTTCAGCTGAATTAACGACTGGCAGACCTGTGCTCTCATATGCATTGTGACTAGACTTTAACGGCAACTTTTAAGATCAGTATCTTGAATCCAAATATATCCTGGGGTGCTGGGTAGTTCAGTTGGTTAAGTATCTGACTCTTGATCTCAACTCAGGTCTTGATCTCAGGGTCATGAGTTCAAGCCCTGTGTTGGGCTCCATGCTGGGTGTGGAGCCTCCTTAAAAAAACAATAAAAACGAATATATCTTAAGATACTGGGTTTATAGTTTCATCTTTGCTTTTCCATTTGCAGTATACTGTTGGTCCTCTATAGTCTGTTTCATGCTATATTCTTGGTTAGAAATCCATCTCCAAACTGTAGCACCTGTCCTATGAAAGAAGCGATTAGCTATAGTAAAATTGTAAAATCCAATTTCTTTCTATGAACACTGGAAGGAAAAAATGAGACTGCCTATATGATTTGCCTCTTGGTTTAGGTATGCAGGTGTCTGCAGGTGTAAGCGGACAGTTCCTCACACTGCTTTCTACAGTTTGCTAAGCACTGTCAACCACTTTACCTATCAGAAGCCCCAGAAGAATTAAGTGCCTTGTTCAAAGCTACACCGCTATAAGCTCCAGTGCCAAAACCAGAACCAGGCCTCTCTCTCACTGTAAGTCTTGTTCCCTGTTTTTTCCTAAAGGATCTATAGAGCTCCATCGGTCTTCTACAAACACACTTTGTGTGACATGTAAAAGCAAAACAATCATTCCAACTCAAATTTCTCACATATCAACCAGTATCTCTACATATTTTGCAAGAAAATACCACTTGTCTTCTAATCTGATCCTATTGCTTGATGCAAAGGCACCACCCAAATGTCTTTCCCCCAAAAGATTGTCTCTTTGGCCCACAATAAAGTTAGGCTGCCAACCCAATGATAAGCCATATGGATGACAGAATGACAATGTTCAAAGTGGAAATAAGACCGAAGGCTAGCCATCAGGACACGTATATGGTGGGAAAACCAGAAGAGGATGAAAGACAGAATGTGGCAGAGAAAGTATCATGGAGAATAAGGGAAGAGTCAACCCAATATCTAACGTCCAAAAATCTCTATTTCACAGCACACAAATGCAAAATGCCCCAGTTCCATCAGCCAATAAAATTATCTTGTCCTGGCAGATTATCTATCTTTGTAATCCATACCAGTGACTGGCATAAGTACTAGGAAGACCAATAAAAAGCTGACTGGGGATTATTTCTTCTGCACCATACTCCTCTCTAGGTAAGGCATCACAGTATTGATCCCAAAAGCATTAAGTGATTATGTTGGTACCCGTTGAACAAAAAGGATATTCTAGACCTGGACATGGACAAGACTATGCAAGCAATCATCTGAAAAGGGTGAGCAGAGGAGGATGTTAAGTTTAGGAAAAAAACACATCCAATACTAGAATTTTATATTAAGAAAAAAAAACCATATTTTTTATAATACAAATTACATAAAGGTGGACATAATTAGTAATCCTCAACCAGAGCATCAATGTTTAGGACTTTCAGATGCATGTAAACAATATCCACCTCAGACAGGGATTCTCTTTCTGCAACCCTTAAGATTTTTGGAGGGCAGCCGAATTCGGTCGTTGGTCAGGGAAAAAAGAGAGCTCTGCAGGCTTAACCTTACCATCCACATCAAACATAACTGGATCTCCATAAGGCAGGCTGCAACCCTTCCCCTGCAGTCCTACTCAGTGATGATACAGACATGGGGCAAGGTGGCAGTTCATACTACAGTAAATCAGAAGGGCAAAGAGGGTGCAATCTTTAATTTTTCACATTTGAAGAGGGCCTTGACAGTAAGGGATAGCCCAAGGCCCTTCCCAGGAAAAGAAGCAGGCACAGGGGCCAGGACTCAGGCTCCATTTTGACCCAACGTTTATTGTCCTTTTACAACATGTCATTTTTGGTTTAGAAACTGCTTGTGATTAGTTTTCCAACATTAACTCAAAAGCATGTAAAATAAAATCAACCTACTCTCTATATAAACACCCAGCAACTGTGGCCCTTCAACCTCCTGCCCAGGCTGGGTAGAAGGAAGGAGGGAGGGCTTGGGTAGCACTGAGTGAAGTGCAGACGCTTTACTGTGGGGAGTGGCAGCGGTGCCTTGGTTCACACCCACACAGGTCTCCTGCACTGCCCCAAACTACAACAGAAATGGCGTAGGCCCAAGGCCCAATTTCCTGTTGGTAATTCACTCTCTGCCTCCCAAATGAAAATCGCTTTTATTTTATCTCTTTTGTTTGTATTTTTTTGCAACAGAAACCCCCTGTCCAGAGTCTGACTGTAGCTGAACTGTTCAGACTGAGGAATGGAGCAGGCCATGGGCACACCCCTGGTCCCTCCTGGGCAAATGCCCCCACCCTCAGGGAACAAGGTCCAGCCAGGCCAGCTCGCTGCATGCTGGCCAGCACCACTTAGCCATACAGATCATCATCATTGTCTTCCGTGTACACACTGCCACCTGTGCCGCCTCCACTGCCCTGACTGGGGCCAGCTCCACCCTGGTTTCCTGAAGGGAATCTGTATGCACAAAAGCAGAGCCAAAAAAGAGAGTTAGGATAGGGCCTGTGTAGGATTTTCACAACTAACCCTCCAGCCTCCTTAGGATTTCCACAATCCTGGTTGTATCATTACCCGAAAACAACTTAAGAACTGCCCACTGTAATGAAATTACCTGAAGCTGCCAAAACCCCGACTCTGCTGGAGGGTCTGAGCAAACATCTCATACTTCCGGATGTCATTATCACTGACAGAACGGCGGGCAAAGCGCATAGCTTCCTCAAAGTGATCTCGGCGGATCTCAGGCACTGGATCATCTTCTTCTACCTCCTATAAGGTTGGTAAACACAGACCACCAGGGCTAAAAGTCCAGCCCGAATTCCTTTCCTGGCCTTCCTGGACACTCCCCTCCCTTACTGTCTCCTCTAATCCAAACCGAGTTAAGTTGAAAGGCCAATCTTCCTAAAACTGAGTCAGTGCCCTGTTTAAAAACCCATCAGTGCATTCTGGAAAAAGCCCAACTGTGGCAACAAAATCACGTTAGTGGTTGCCAAGGGCTTAGGGTAAAAAGAAGAAGCTGTAGTACTAAAGTGGCATGAGGGAACCTTCTAGGGCAGAAATTTATCTAAACTGTGATAATAGTTATAGAACTTAAATACATTTGTCAAGATGCACAGAGACAGTATATATAAAAAGAATGACTTTTACTACATGTGAATCATATCTCAATAAAGGTAAATTTTAAAAATAAAGCTTCTAAAAAAAAAAACCAAAACAAAAAACTGAAACCACCTAAATTTTAAAAAGATTAATGACTTTCAGCACTTACCACATCCAGATGACACCTTACCTCATGGCCTCACTCCAGTAACATATGCCCTCTTAAATCTATCCAGGTTTCCCCCAATTCCTGCAATCCTATTTCTTGAGCCAGTTATTTGGGCTACTTATTTCCTTATTCCTTAGCCTTTACAATCTCCTTTCATAACCCAGCTCAAACTCTAGCTCTTCCACTAAGAAGCCACTCCGATTGCTGTGACATAAGGGACTGCTCCACAGAATTAAGTATATCAATAGTTTCTAAGCTTCTACGGGAGAGAAGGGGTATCTCAAAACTCCTACAAAAGGTAAAGTTTTTCATTCATTCATTTATTCATTTATGAAGTCTCTAACACGGTGCCAAAATACACTAGAAAACATACAAGATTATATAGATTCCCTTTCTTTATGAAGCTTACATACACACCCCAAATTCTGCATTTAATTTCAGGAGGTCCATGGATCACCAAGGAACACAGGCCCATGGATCGCAGGTTCTAAATCCTGCTCTTTTTGTTTATGTGCACAATCATATTTTGATTTCCTTCACAGAGCCTACTTCAGGCTGAGCATACAGACTAGACTACACATCTCTCCTCAGCTTTTACAATTCCAGACTGAAGAGATTAATACTCCATATTCTCTCTGACGTCCACCTAACAGGGCATTTATCAGGTATCTTTACAAAACCTTACAACTCTTAACTCCAAAGCATGGTAGAGATTGCCCTTGGCTCCCCACAACTGGTACATACGGGGAAAAGATGCAAACTCACCATGGCAGATGGATTGGTCTGCCTCTCCCGTTCTCGCCTAATTTCACTCTCGATAGATTCACGGATGGCCAGCTTGCAAGCACGCTGGCAAATTTCTGTCAGGTCAGCTCCAGAGAAGCCATTAGTCATCTTAGCCAGGAACTCCAAGTCCACATCCTAAAAGAAGCAATAGGACCTTACCATTTAGCCTCTCCTCCCCTGCAATACACTGATCTCTGAGCCACCCAAGCACTCCTAATATTAGTCCGTGCCATCTTCCGCCACTGTTTTACTCCTGATTACGAACTGTATTAATACCTTCAAATCTTCCATCTTCCCCTGACATCCCTAACCCCAATGTATTTCCCCCAATGGAATCTTTTCCAGGAATTGAACTCCATACTAGGCTGAGCACTCACAGAAATCCCTTATCACCAATGCCCTTGCACCTGCCTTGGCAACTGGAGACTTGCGCAGGTTGGCCTTGAGGATGGCAACACGGGACTTCTCATCAGGAAGAGGAATATAGATGAGCTGATCGAGGCGGCCAGGTCGCAGGATAGCAGGATCAATAATGTCAGGTCGATTAGTAGCGCCAATAATAAACACATTCTTTTTTGTAGACATGCCATCCATTTCTGTCAGGATCTGGTTGATGACTCGGTCTGCAGCCCCACCACCATCTCCAATGTTGCCACCACGGGCCTTGGCGATTGAATCCAGCTCATCAAAGAAGAGTACACAGGGGGCAGCTTGGCGGGCCTATGGGAGAGATACACAGACTCAAGCATTAACATAACTGGGTCTCTCAGACCTGAGAAGGAAAGGCAATTAAAGTGATCTTCACTGCTCCAGAACAAGATGGCTTCAATTCTCCCAAGAAAAAGCTGCCTTGCTGCCAAACAAGTGAATAGACAGCTCAACTGCTTGTAGCTCACCTTGTCAAAGATTTCCCTGACATTGGCTTCAGACTCTCCAAACCACATGGTGAGCAGCTCAGGACCCTTGATGGAGATGAAGTTGGCCTGGCACTCATTAGCAATGGCTTTGGCCAGCAAGGTTTTCCCACAGCCAGGAGGTCCATAGAAGAGTACTCCCTTGGAGGGTGTCATGCCAAACTTGAGGAATTTGTCTGGATGCTCCACAGGATACTAGGAAGAAAAGGAAAGATGGTTTGGCACACCCCCATAGTCTGAAACAAACCTAACCAAAGAGCAGCATCCCTCCTATGGTGTAAAATCTGGTTCTCTAGGGGCAGTGTCCTTGGTGCCTATAAATTGAGAATAGCAGGTTCATGAATTATGCTCTCACAATTCTTGAACTCAACTACTAACACCCCAAGCCACCTACAATATATTGAAGCAATGACTCACTCTGGACCAGTTACCCTACCTGGACCAGCTCCTGAAGCTCACGTTTGACATCCTCCAGGCCCCCGATGTCCTCCCAGGTTACCTGTGGTACCTCCACCACAGTTTCCCTCAGTGCTGATGGATTGCTCTGGCTCAGGGCCCACTAAAAAGAAAAACTGGGGATGAGATTTACCAATGGAAAGGTCAAAATGCACGTGTGTATACCTGAGATAGGGGTACAGTCCTTACCCGGAAGTCATCCATAGTAACTGCCAGAGAGTTCATGACTTCAGCATCGATAGTCTCATCCTCTAAGTCAATGAGGTCCATCTTCTTGCGGATAGCTTGAAGAGCAGCTTCCGAGCACAGGGCTGCTAAGTCAGCGCCCACATGCCCATGAGTCTCATTGGCGACCTGCAGAGAAAAGATCTACTTACTACTCTGTAAGACCTAGCTGCCTTAGGAGGCTCAGAGTATATATAAAATCCTGGCCCCTTCCCGATACTCCTATCTCTGGGTCCTCCCATTTCCCTGAACACATACTAGCAGTTCTTTCATGGCTGGGTTTTAAGTAGTCAAGCCTAGAGTTGAGGCCTGGAAATAAAGCTGACCTCAAAGTTCTGGTTTACTATAATGTGGGGTCAACAGAGAAATATGCCAGCTCCAGTTTCCTGGATTCAATCTCAGATCACTTCCTTTCCCCTGTCCAAGAATCAAAATCAGTCTCTTTACATCTTAAGCTTATGTTCACTTTAACTGCCCAGGAACAGGTATCATAATTCAGGGCCAGCCCTCTTCATCACTCCACCTGCTCCAGGTCCACATCGTCTGCGAGCTTCATGTTCTTGGTATGGATCTGAAGAATTTCCAAGCGTCCTGTAGCATCAGGGATTCCAATATCTACCTCCCTGTCAAAGCGACCTGTGGGACAGTGTGTGAACACAGACAGGGCTCATTTCTGGTCCAGAGGGAAGAAGGGACAAGTCTCAGGTGACCAACCATCCCTTTCTGTTCAGGACTGTCCTGGAACTGATAGTTGCATGTCCTGGGAAACTCCTCAGTCTCAGGCAAACCACAATGGCTGGTCACCCTAGACAGGACACAGAGTAAGGGAAAGGACCCCAGGCCCTATCACTGCAAGGAGCTTCAAGAAATCCTCAGATTAAATGAAGGACAGGCATGGTATCAAAGAGACTCAGCTCAGTAAAGCTACAGTCTCCCTTTGAACAAGAGGAGGGTTGAAAGAAATCTGGGGTCCTTACCAAATCGCCGAAGGGCTGGGTCAATGCTATTGGGTCTGTTTGTTGCTGCCATTACAATCACATGTGCTCTCTGCTTTAGACCATCCATGAGGGTCAACAACTGTGATACAATACGCCGTTCCACCTCCCCGTGGGTCTGTGTCAGGACAGGATGTCTGGTCAGAAGTGAAGTGAGGACCTTTCAACCCCCACTATCCCCTCAGATAAGTTCCTACTTTCTCTCTTTTGGGAGCGATGGCATCTAGTTCATCAATGAAGATGATAGCAGGAGCATTCTTCTCAGCCTCCTCAAAGGCTTTACGAAGGTTGCTCTCAGACTCACCAGCCAACTTGCTCATGATCTCAGGACCTGAAAGGATACAGAATTCAAACAATGACAAAACTGTATCCTTCTTCAATCCTAAAAGAAATAATCTCTTATCTGCCCAGCCCAGAGACAGGCACTGTATGAAAATGTGGTAACCTCTGCCTACTTTCTCAGAGACTCCACCAGACACTATCCCAGGACAGCCACCAAACTAGGCTGAAGAAAAGCCAAGGAACGCACAACACCCATCTCACAGTCAAGCTCTAAATGTCAAGACGAAAGCACATGCTCTGGGACTTCTGGCCAGAGCAGGAGAAGCAGCACACTAGTTAGACCTCTATCATTCTCAAGGAGCCAGGTAATCTCAGCCAGTCTTCCCCCAAAACCTCTCAAATAAATTTGCAGACAAAATTTGAGTTCTCCTTCTATCTTGCTCCCTCTAAATGCCTTCAGCCTTTCCACAATCTTTCTCAAGGGGGATAAGTCGGGGGCACCAGAGTACAATACCTTCCCCTTGTTGCTTATCTGTCCATAATGTACCCTAGCAGAAGAAAGATAATGAAATACACACAAGGACATGTGTGGAAATAAACGCCCGTGAGTTCTCCAGTTCATGAACCTGGATCATGCTCATCTCAGAGTATGATCCAGCCAAAAAAAGGTGAATCAAGTCTCCTACCATTGATCAAGAAGAAGAAGGCTCCAGTCTCATTTGCCACAGCTCGGGCAATTAGGGTCTTCCCAGTCCCAGGAGGTCCATACAGCAGGATTCCCCGAGGAGGCTGAGGAACAGTACAGAGGATATGTTTAGGTTCAGAGTCCTACCTTCTCTCAACGCCATCCACTCTAAAATGGTTTGACCGTGGCTCTATCTAGAGAGGGTGAGAATCAGAGCCTGACCCTGACATCAATAAAAATAAGCTCTCAGCATTAACTGCTAGGAAAAGTTTACTTCAGATCATACTCACTCATTCCTCTTATTAGCAGAGAAAATACAGTCAGAAAACTGACATTTATGACATACGTTGCATACAAGACTCAGCACAGAAACCACCTAAGAAACTCTAATGTGGCTAAGTCTGAAGATCCTGGACTACAAAACAGCAAGAGGCCACTAGGTCAAGGGCTTGACTTTGGACAGACAAGGGCCAGGACTAGCTTAGCCACCTAAGTGGCCTCATTCACAGGCTGCACATGGGAAATGCCCACGCAAAAGATAAAATTATTTGTATGGTACATACTAGATAAAGGGGTAATTTCATCTTCAGTGTGCCCCATGATATGCAAATGGTTAGGAAGTTACATTGTAGATCTGCAGTTCTCAAATGTTTTGGATTCAGGACCCTTCACATTGCAAATTTCCTGAAAGTTCTACTTCTGTTAGGTGATACTATTATAAACAAGCTAGCAAACTGTAGTATTTGTTTTTATAGGGTCCATGAGATAACAATGGTTTTTTACATTTTTAAAGGACTGTTTAAAAAAAAAAAATAGACATGTAACAAAGAATGGACTTACCTGATTCTAAGTTAGTCACCAGCCGAGATTATGTCTCACGGGGCCCAGGATGCTTACCTTAACACCAATTGCCTTAAAGAGGGCAGGATGTCTGAGGGGTAGCTCTACCATCTCCTTTATCTGAGCCAGCTGTTTTCTGCAGCCACCAATGTCATCATAGCCTACTTCATTCAAGGATTCTTCCTCATCCTGGATATAGAGACAAAGAAAAAAGAAGGCAGGATATCAGTAACACCAAAAGTTGAGTTTCTCTAAACCCTTCTATAATCTAGTGTAGAATTTCCTCTAAGGGGATCCTGACTCAAAGAACAACTCTAAAAATCCCAAAGCAAAGATTTCTAGCACAGCCTTTCCCTTTCACACTACTATCCTTAGTATTATTACTCGTAAGGGCTCCCCCATAGACCTAAAGCTGGAAACTCTGGGAAACAGGCAGAAGTCTGGATGCCATCATCAATATCACTTCTACAAAAATTATTCTAACCACTTAAGATCTTTCGGGTTCAATCTAGATTTTATTTTATTTTAAAGATTTTATTTATCAGAGAGAGCACACAAGCAGGGGGAGGGGCAGGCAGAGAGAGAAGCAGGCTCCCCGCTGAGCAAGGAGCCCAATGCGAGACTCGATCCCAGAACCCTGAGATCACGACTTGAGCTGAAGGCAGACGCTTAACTGACTGAGCAACCCAGACATCCCAAATGATCTAGATCTTAAAAATCACCGATATCGGGGTGCCTGGGTGGCTCAGTGGGTTAAGCCTCTGCCTTCAGCTCAGGTCATGATCTGAGGGTCCTGGGATCAAGCCCCACATTGGGCTCTCTGCTCTGCGGGGGTGCCTGCTTTCCACCACCCCCGCCCCCTGCCTGCTTGTGGTCTCTGTCAAATAAATAAATAAAATCTTAAAAAAAAAAAAATCCCTGGTATCACATACTTCTAGGAAACACACAGGTCTGAAAATGAATAGTTGAGAAATTTTCCCACCTCTGGAAAGGAGCTTAGTTCCAAAGAGCAACCAGTTTTATTTTAATTTTTTTTTGGTGGTGGGGGGAAGGAAAGGGAAAGAGAGAAATCTTTTTTTTTGTTGTTTTTAAAGATTTTATTTAATTATTTGACACAGAGAGAGACACAGAGAGCAGGAACACAAGCAAGGGGAGTGGGAGAGGGAGAAGGTGAGCAGGGAGCCTGATGCGGGGCTTGATCCCAGGACTCTGGGATCATGACCTGAGCGTAAGGCAGATGCTTAACCACCTGAGCCACCCAGGCACCCCAGGAAAGAGAAAATCTTAACCAGGCTCCATACCTAGCACAGAGCCCAAAGCGGAGCTTAATCTCACAACCCTGAGATCATAACCTGACTTGAAATCAAGAGTCAGACGCTTAACGGACCAAGCCACCCAGGCGTCCCAAAGAGCACCCACCCGATTTTAGTAGTTACCACATGACTGCCCCACTTCTTTAATTATGAAACTGGGTACTGGAATGAAGGAAAGAACTCACCTCTCGTTTGATAGGCTCCCCTTCACAGTGGATCACTGTGTCTGGAGCAACAATGCAGTAAGGGCTGGGATCTGTCTCCACTACTTTGAACTCTACAGCACGCATTCCACCCCGGACAAGGAAAATGTCTCCTGTGAGAGCAATTAGCACAAGTGAAGTCAGAGAGGTCAAATACCAGAGCAAGTGAGAATTCCTCATCAGTACCTGGAGTCTAAAACACCAAATTCATTAGATATTGCTTTTCCCTTCCCACCTCCACTTTATTAAGCCATCAGGCAAAAGGAAAAAACTAAGCTGTGAAGAGTCCCACTGCCATTCAAGGACGCTGAACAAAACGTTATGGGTTTTCTGGTACATCAGGTTTTAGCCTCTGGCCTAAAGCCCATAAGGTTTTTGACTTCTGGGCTATAAGTAACCAAGCTTTCACAACCACCACCAATGGTCAGGATGTGCTAAATATTAAATACACTTTGGACTGGGACACAGTCAAAAGTGCCCAAGTCCTCCTCCTGGGACAAAAGAAGATAGATTACTCTACTGAAACAGGGAGTAGAAATAGGAAAATGAGGCAGGGGGAAGGGAGAAAGAGGGAAGGAGAGGACACATAAGCATGGGTGCAGAATATATGTATAAGCACACATATATGAGAATGAGATAAAGACAATCCAAGGTTTACTCCTAGGTAGCCCTACAACCAACCATCCTTAAACTCAGTCTCTAAATTAGCTCTCACCTTTCCGGATGGGTCGATAAGCTTCCAGGAAGTATGGCTTAAGGTATACCTCGAAGAGATTGCCAGTGATACCTTCCACCGTGTCATCGATGGGTAGCACATGGATACGTTTGCCGTACTTCACATCAGGGCACGGCTGGATGCTGAGGATGACAAGCAGACTCCACATTACCAACCACACTGCAGCCCCAAGCACTGGGTGTCCAAAAGGGCCTGGCACAGAGAGCTGATGGCGAGCGAAAGAGAAAAGGCAGGGATGGCTTTAGGTGAAGAGAGGCAGGACGGTAGTGTGAGAGTGAGGACAAAGGAGCAGCCAAGTAGAACTAAGACAAGTCATACTCAGGTTGGGTAGTAGCAGGAGCCTTTAGAAGAAGCTACTGGGGCTGCTCACTCCTCATCAGCAAGCCAAAAGGAAGAGCCACACATGTAAAGCCCCCAAAATAAAACAGGAGGAAGGGTCTTCAGTGAGAGAGATCCAAAGATGACCCATTCTGTATCAGTAACCCAATATTACAAAGGGAGGCCTCAGACAAGTGTCAGGATCAAAGAAACAGAACTGAAAAAAATCTTCTCAGCCAAGTGATCAGAGCATCTTGACAAAGTGACTAAGCACCTCTAGGAAGAAGGATACATGAAACCTAGAATCCATGAAAAATAATCAGGAAGTCTGAGATGTTCCTGGCCAGATGACAGGTGGCTGAACAGCAGTGGCTAATGATGACTCCAAAATGGGGAAGCCTCTTGCCTAAAGTTAAGGGCAAAATCACTCCAACTGAAGCTATTCAGGGATCTGACTCAAACTATGCCTCCCTCCTATATTAACTTGGATCCTTAAAAAATTTATTTACTCAGGAGTCCACCCTCTGTGCCCACACTTCCACCTCATTCTGGCCCCAATACAAGCCATTATTTCAACATAACAGTGAGATCATTTTATAGACACACACCCTCAAATGGCATCCTAAACCAGTGTCTAGCATGTGATAAATTATACCTCTGGCAAAGAAAGAAAGGAAGGAAAGAAGGAAGGAAGGAAGACAGGCATCATGAAAGTCACAGAAATCCAATTTGTCCCAAGGGTCAGCAGAAGTAAATTCTGAAGTCCCAGGGAGGAAGAAACAAAACCTAGACAGTCTTGCTATAGTAAGTCTTCCCATGGCTAGGAGGCTTCTGCTTTGTGTAGCTGCCAAGGACTTTGCTGGGGTCCTGTCTATAGTTCAGGTTGTCTCTGGCCTCCCATCCCTGAGGGGACAAGAACCCGACACACACCTGATGACATCTCCTAGATGTACGCGAAGGTTGTTCCGAACAACTCTATTCATTCGAATCTTCTCATCGGAACATGTGTCATCAGAAAGCACAATGCACACAGCTTCCCTCCTCTTCTTTCCTTTCAGCAACACTGTGTCACCTCGGAACAACTGCAGCTCATCCATCTTGGGCTGAGAAAAGAAGGTTAAGGGCTTTGGGTCACTGGGCCAGGGGTTAAGCAGCAGCCCTTGGAAGCTAGAATACCCAGTAAACCCTGCTCTTCTGCGGTCACTGCAAAAAACAAACAAACAAACAAACAAACAAAAAACCCAAGGAAAGAAACCTGGGAAAAGCCCTCAGGTTAAGTGCAATGAGGAAAGATTAGACCTTGGACCCAACTTACCTGGGACAAAGACACCACACTGTTGTCCTCATTGATGGCTTCATCAACAATTAACCGATTGGGACGGTTCTTCTGTTTAAGAATGGCTGTTGATAAGTCATCACCTTTTGAACTAGAAAGAAAATGAAGTTAGTCCCAATACATACTCTAGTCCCAAGGGCCCCACCAGTCATTAAAACTCACACTTAGGAAAGAAATAGTGGATAAATGAAGCTGTCCCTAAACCAGAGATGTGAGATAAAAGATATTCAGCCAAGGTCATATAGAGTAATATTTAGCACATACAGTTCCCATTCCAGCAGCTCTTGGTATTCTGAGCACTGGTAACCTAGCTGTAAAGGCCCCAAGTGATCTTGCCCCAGAGTCAGGAAACTATGGCCTGAGAAGACTAAATAGATGTAGAGGCTGAATAACAATTAGAGAAATGACAACAGTCTTAATATGAGACAGCGATTAGGAGAAGGGGCTCACAGTAAGACCTGCTAGGTCTGAATCCCAACCCTGCCACTGCTTAACTGTGATCTTGGGCAAGTTACTTAACCTCTCTGGAAGTTGATGTCCTCATTTGTAGAGAGGTGAATACAGTAGTACCTATCTTACAGGATTATTGTCTTAAGTGAGATAACGAATGCAAAATGTTCAACACAATGCCTGGCACATGGTATTAATGGTCACAATGATTAGCACTGCAGAACAAAGCATAAGCTCTTTCTTTGCTAACCTTCTTGGAGAATGAAGTGAGCAAGACAACTTCCTGTAGGGCTCAGCGAAGCCCCAAGTCCCACCAAGCAAGCCTGGGGACAATGAAGCAAAATCATTAGCACTACTGTCCTTACTGTCTAAACCAGCTGAATGCCAGCGCATTTGGTATACCACAGAAATGCCAAGCATAAAGACCATGATATTTGGGGAAAACAAAACAACTCAACTAACAGATATGAAACCTTCAAAAAGACGGCCAAGCTCAAAAACAGCTTCACAAATCGCTGCAAAGACATACAATTCCACAATGTTGACTCAAAAAGTCAAAACCAAGAAATGCTGAGACATGGAGCAAATCCAAATCCCTCACCCAAATCAAGGCTGCCTGAGTCTAAACTCAGTTTAAGCCCTCTAAATAGTTTCAATCATTTCCTTGAAGATTATTCACTTTATACCAACTTTTTACCCACCTCTTCTTCAATCTTCAGTAACTAGACTCAGTGGGCTTTCCCTTTGAAAAGTTATCCTCTTTTACTAAGGCTCAGGAAAACCTGAATATTAACCAAAACAGGGAGACCAGAAAACGGAGAAAATGAAGAAATAAAAAGGAATCTTTCCCATTAATTATTCCTTCATTTAACAAATTAGCAAGTATACATTACAGGCCAGACACCCTCCTATGTTGGATGTATCTTCACAACTTGCAAGAAAAAAAAGATGCCTACATTCCAGAATACCAGCGAGGGCATTGTGAGGTTTCTCCATCTTTTGGTCCTGATATACTCAACAGAAATACAAATCCCATTCATCTAGCAAATCTGCTGATCCTCTCACATAGGCTACGTCTTTAATCATCACCTCAAAACTGATTTCTAAGAGTGGAGTTTTCTCAGCTTAAACTTGCCTCCTCAACCTAAAAATGTAGCACTCTGGGCACAATGCTGCATAGCAGGCAGACTCTTCCAGTGCTTATCAACACGCTGGAGAACAAGTATGGTCAATATGGCAGCTGAAGGCAATTCCATCCCATCAACTCTCCCTCTCTCCCACACATCAAAATACCTTCCAAAGACTGCCCACCTTCCTGTTTAATCTATGGTACTGGGGCTAGAGAAAAATAAAATGCCAGACGCCTCTAGTCATCACTGTTTATATTTTAACCCCAAAGCCGCATTCTAGGAAAACTAACCTGCCTACCCTTCCTGACCCTGGCAATGGAGATGAGCAGTATGTCCTTCTCTTAAGGCAAAGACCTTTACTTCCCTATCTATCTACTAAGATCAAAGGAAGTAACCTCTAAAAGAGAGCTTCAGCCTGATCGTGGGCCAACAGCAGTCCTGGAGGCTCTTTGGGGACATCCCCCATTGTCTTCTGCATGAGTCAGGCCCTTTCCAGAACTCCAATGGGCCACAGGGGACTTGGAGGGAATTCAGGTAAGAGTCATCAAGATGACCTAGAGGTTAGAAACCATCTATGATGCCACGTTCCAAGAATTTTGAATTCTTATTTTTAGTCTTGAAAATAAATGACTGACTAAATAACCTAAGAGAGTAAGTATTAATAAGTAATGGTCCTTTTAAAGACACCCAAGTAATACTTCATCTCGGTTTAGAGACCAAAAAAAAAAAAAAAAAGAAACACACCTCAAAAAACTTAATTCTCTTCAAGTCAGGAAAGTGATTTGCATAAGAGTTTCCACAGGATGGCTTTTTTTTTTCCCCCTTTTTCAGTATCTAAAGCTCTTGATTCTAAATATAATGGGCAAAGGGGTTGAGGTGGTGATCTCTTATCTGATGCTTTCCTGAGGAACTGACGACCCAAGATTTCTCAACACAGCGGTTTGGAGAAAGGAGCGTGTGTGTTCAAAGAGTTAGGGCAACTCTAACCTTCTCATCACAAAGGCTGATATCGAGGAAGGCCCGCAAATTACCAACTGAGATTCGAACTTTAGCAAACGCCCAAAACAGTAGAGAAAAGTTCCTACTTCCCACCCCCCACTTCCTAACATTAAGGAAAACTGACTAAAGCTTTATCATGTGAACAACCAACATAAACTACGAAGGCCAGAAACCTACGCCCCCCACCCCCTAACAGCCCCTCACTACTCAGGTCGTGAGGATGTCAACCAAGGGACAGGCCGACCCAGCTCCGAAACAGCCGTCGTGAGCTTCCATGAGCTCGCCGAGTCTTCCCAGTTCCCCGCTCCGGCCTCCGCCTGTCTCACAGCTCCTAAGGCCTTCACGTGGCCTAAAGTCCACGCCCACCGGGCCCAGTTAGGGCGTCAGGCCCACAGGGCCTGCTCCCTCTGGGGACCAAAGGCCTTCCGCGGATAGTAGACCTGATCGCAGGTGGGCGCCCTAAGGCCCTGGGGCTCCGCGCCGGCCATGTGGACCGGAGACTTCATAAGAACGGGACAGTGGTTCCCAGGGAGCCAATCAGGCCGGCCGGGCCTGCATGACACAGCACGATCTGGCCCAGGCCCCGACCCAGGCCCAACGCAAGCCCGGCCTAGGGGGCGCGCGGCTGCGCAGCCAGGCCCAGACCGGACCGCGGCCCCTCATCACCCCCCTTCTGCTTTCCCTGTCTCCCTCCTTCCCTGCCTCCACCTCTTAGACGCGCCCACGGCCAGGCCCCGCCGGGCCTACCCAGCGCGGCGACTCCCCAGGTGCGCGCACCCGCAGCGGGCGGGCGGGCGCGCGCACACACACTCACTCAGCTCCAGAGGCCATGGCGCGCGCCTCTCCCGGCCGGCGGCTGTGGCGGCCCGCGGGTAACGGCTACGAGGGGTGGCAGGCGACCGACTGGGCCGGGGCTCTGCTCTCCCGGGCAGGGGGCGAGCTGCGGCGACAAACCCGCAGGCGGCCTCCTTCTCGTTTCCTCCTAGCGGTACCGAGGCAGTGGGCGGGCGGTATACACTGGCTCCTGATCCGGGAGGGGGCAGCGGCAGCAACGACTCAAACGACGGCTGCAGACGCTGCGCTGAGACTGAACCCAGAAGAGCCGAATCATCGGAAGGAGAGGTGCTCTCACCTCAGCCAATCAGCGCCTGGACTGGGGACTTCCTCCCGCCTCTCCGCGCCTCTCCCCAGCAACCCGCCGACCAGAGCCAATCAGGAAATTCGCTTGCGGCCTGGCTCCCGCCTCAGGGATGCAACACGCCTAGTAACGCCACGTCAATTGGCCGCAGCGCTACGCTTCCTCGACGGATTGGAATTTGCGACCAATCAACGAAAAGGATGGGGCCAGATCGACGGGCGAAAAAAAGAGCCTTTAATCCCTGGAAGGCGGACTCTCCCACTTGGCTCCAGTTCATTGGTTCCTGATCTTACCCTGCTGAAGAACCTGGCACAATGGACTAAACCCTTGTATTAGTCTAGTCCTGTTGCAGTGATAACCTACACACCATTTTCTTCCCAAACCTGAGGATCCACCCTAAACCTTCTCCTGGCTTCTTCAAAACGCCGGCTGGAGCCATGCCTACTCTGAACCCTTTGACTAGCACCCCACCTTTTAATCCACTCCACCCTATTCTTGTGGCACCCTCTGGTAACCCTAATCCCATAGGCTTTACAGTTCCTCAGAGCTTGGAGGTACATGCTTCCTCTTACCACTGGGTATTTATATTAATGGCTAGAGGAGGGAGGGCACTCAAGTCCAAAAAGGAGTCTAAAGGCAACCACAGAACCCAGTAGATTCAATAGAACCCAAAGCAGCAAGAAAACTGCATGCTGAGACTTGAAGTCCTTGGGCCCCAAATGCCAGCTAGCCCTGACTAAATTCAATAAACAGATTTGGTATCATGCTGATTATATTAATTCACCCTTCACCTCCTATCCACACAGGCAGGGTTGACTGAGACTGTCAAATCCCAAATTTCTAGAATTTGGGATAGGGGTAGGGAGTCACTTAGAGACTCAGAGGTCTGCTTGTCCCTCCCCTCTAAGAACCAAATGTTTGCCCTTGTCCTGAGAGGTCTGCCCAGACCACCTTCCAGACCCAGCTCCACTCATTCTGTGACCTTGCACAGGATCCTGGGCTTTGAGACTCTGACTTTTAGGCAACAGAAAGAACCAAAGCCACTGCAAGGATTCCTGTGGCCCTTTCTTCTACCCAGAACTCAATCTCATAAGGTAGATGATGTTGGGAGAGGGCATCTTAGGTAACCAGCACTCAACTGAATCAGACAGCTGTGAGCCTTCCCACTCAAGTATATGTAGTAGGCAAACAAGAGATAAATATGCATTTTACTCAACACAATTAACAGGAATATAGGAAAAAAGGTGTCATAAGCAAAGTTAATGCCTTTTTGGTGGCAAAGGAACCAGAATGGCAGTAACTAGGCCAAATTTTGCAGGACTCCTACCAACTTCTCCAATGCCAGACTTATACAGGAATGATCCATTTCACCCACACTGCTCAAGAATGGTAAAGCAGAAAGCCCTCCCCATGGAGAAATGGGCCACTGGAGCCCCAGCTCAGGCTCTTTAAAATGTGGCAGCTACAGATCACGAGCCTCCGGCAGAGATGTCTGAAACTCCTCAAGAAGGGTTTCACGGTCGGGGGAATGAATCCAGTCCAGATAGGTTTCTAGGTACAGGGGGAGAGACCTGGAGAGCAAAAAGAGTGACGTCTGAGGGTGAAGGATAGGCAGCCACTCCATCCCTTTCATTCATTACCACCCCCAACAGACTCAAGGACTCCAGGAAGCCAACTGCCCTCAGCCCCAACCCCGCAGGCCTCAGCCTCACCATGCAGCATTCTCCTGTGGCAACTCTGTTTGGGCCTTTAGCCTCCACCAGAGAGCAGTGGCCTCATCCCTCCGATCCATCCTCCTCAGAGTCTGAAGCAGGTGAAAGGAAGCGTCTTGATTACCTGTAGCCCCACCCCAAAGTAGAAAGGCTTAGAACCTGACACAGCCTTAAGCATTTTATAAAAGGAGAAACTGAGGCTTAGAGCAGGAAAGTATCTTTTCTACAGTCACACATGGAACCAGGAGGTTCCATTCCCAACCATTCCTACTCCCGGGTACTGCCCGCCCAAGAAAAGGCTCAGCTGGGGCGCCTGGGTGGCTCAGTGGGTTAAGCCGCTGCCTTCGGCTCAGGTCATGATCTCAGGGTCCTGGGATCGAGCCCCGCATTGGGCTCTGTGCTCAGCAGGGAGCCTGCTTCCTCCTCTCTCTCTACCTGCCTCTCTGCCTGCTTGTGATCTCTCTCTGTCAAATAAATAAATAAAATCTTTAAAAAAAAAAAAAAAAAAAAAGGCTCAGCTGACTCTGCTTCTCCCCAGCATACTCCGAGCATAGTTGTGGTCTTTGTGTCTGAGGACACTGGAAAGACTGAGGAACTCCAAAGAGCCTTCACACACACTTGCAAACGTCTTCAAGCCAGGGTATATCCCTGGGTATATACGGTACAACCCCATTCATCCCCTTCTATCTGGGAACATTACTCTTCCACTGATCCCCAAGTACCTCCCGGATGGCCCTCTCTGTCCTTGTACATCTGGGCATAGCTGATATCATGCAAATATACATACCTGGGCACATTTGCACACTGAGGAGGAAGTCCTGTAGGGCTTTGGTATCTTGGCCAATGGCCACCCACTGAAGTCCACGACTAATCAGGGCAGCTGCCCGAAGCTGTTGTAGTGCCACATCTGATATACACCCCTTCTCACCATTGGAAGCAGGCCCTGGGGACCACCCCGAAGTCAAAAAGTGTGTCCCTGCTACACAGGCACGTAGTACTACAGAATCCCAAGTACTCCTCCTTCTCTTCTTATGTCTGGAGTCCCCCCACCCCGCGACCTTTTTTTAAAAAGGTAGGCTAGGACGCAAGGAAAGGCAACACATTCACCAACCCTCCCCTTCCAGGAGGGAAGAGGAAAATTGAGAGTCTAGATCACCTTGTTCTTCATTCTTAGGTGTGGTCCGGAAAAGCAGCTCAAGGCACCTGAAGTGGGACACAGAATAGGGGTGAGGAAGAGTCAACCTCAGAAACTCTAGGGGGAGTCGGTAAGAATGGAGCTTACTCGGGTCCCAATCAGCAAATTATCCCTCCACATTTCCCCTAGGATTCTGGTTGGCTTCCTGAGCTCACCGGCTAAATTCACTAATTGCCCCTTTTGGGGCCCCCAGCTGCACCCAGGCTTGACCCTGAAGCAGGTAGGTTGCAGAGACCCAGGATGGGCAGTGTGGTGACTCTTTGGTTCCTTTTCTGGCATCTTCCCTCAGCTGGGGCATCTTGGGAAGCAGAGATGACGTGCGGCTAAGTAGCTCCTCACATACAGTCAAGGCATCCTGGGCTCGGCCAGCCTGGATCAGTGCTACAGCTGCCTCTAAGAACACCTCAGGCATACAAGGCCCTGGAGGGGAAGGCGGGGGGAAGAACTGGGGTGGGAAGAGGACACAGTGTCTTAAAGAGACATTAGTCACCATCCCCAACCTCTTCACCAGG